GATTCGAACGGTTCAACGATTCTGTCCGATTCAGTAGTAGCGGTTTAACCATATTATAATGAACCGGACCAGACATCAATTCTCGATTGAACCGACCGATCCGATCCAATTTTCAAAACACTGTCAACTGTAGCACCTTCCAAGAGTCACGTGATTACCTCTTCTCCCATTGTTCTTTAGCAGTTTACCTTTGGACCTCTATTTTGCTTCTTAATAAAATGAATTTCACTAACTTGTCTTGGGGTGAAATAATTGCTTGGGCAAGCTCATCTTAGAAAGGAAAGTCTCTTATTATCATCATTTTGAAGTTTTCATGGTCTGCTTTCATCTACACATTATGACAAAAATGAAATTGTAGAATTTTCCTTAAACGTCGAAGAATTGTCGAAACTTTGTTCAAAGATATCATTGATTTTGTTGCTATTCGACTTAGGGGCAAATCTATTAATAGACTTGATAGTATTAACTTTAGCCTTTGTAATGCTTGGGGTATAGTCTAACCAATCATTGTTTTGTATCTAGGTTGTTCATAGTTTTCTTTTGTTCGATTGATTGGTTGATAGGTTGTAGCATAACAATGCTATTTTGGGTAATAAATTTTGAATTATCAAAAAAAAAAAATAGCAGCAGTCCACCACGAGAAATGATACGGTTAAAAAAATTGTTATCGATTTTATTATTATTAGACGTTTTACCAGTTTTATTAATAAAATTGGTTAAATATTATCGGTTTTATTATTTTTTCTACTGATTTTATTATTATTTGACACTTTAACAAAAATATTAAAAAAATAATAATATTTTAAATAAATTTTTATCAATTTTAATATTTAAATAATACAAAACAGATAACATTTTTTTAATTATATATAAGGAGTGCCGTAGAACTTTTCCTCCACCACCTCCCCAATCCTTTGATAAATAAAAACCGCAGCTCATCCATCCATTAATTTCTGATATCCCTCATTTGCCACAAAATCTGCCGTTGAATTTTTTTCATCCGATGGACAGCAACAAGCAAGCCGAGTCGTCTTCGTACCCTCCCACTTCTTCTATTACCCCACCTCCCGCCATTCCGCCGGCGCCCTTCCACCACCTCCTCCAGCAGCAGCAGCAGCAGCTCCAGATGTTCTGGTCTTACCAGCGCCAAGAAATCGAGCAGGTAAACGACTTCAAGAACCATCAGCTGCCTCTCGCTCGCATCAAGAAGATCATGAAAGCCGACGAAGATGTCCGTATGATCTCGGCTGAAGCCCCCGTTCTCTTCGCCAAGGCCTGCGAGCTTTTCATTTTAGAGCTAACCATACGTTCTTGGCTTCACGCCGAGGAGAACAAGCGACGGACGCTTCAGAAAAACGACATCGCAGCGGCTATTACTAGGACCGACATTTTCGATTTCTTGGTGGATATTGTTCCCAGGGACGAAATTAAGGATGAGGCTGGTTTGGGTGGGATGGTGGGTGCCACCGCTAGTGGTGTGCCGTACTTTTATCCTCCCATGGGTCAGCCTACCGGTGGTCCTGCTGGCCCCGGCGGGTTGATGATCGGGAGGCCTGCCGTCGACCCCACCGGTGGTATGTATGCCCAGCAACCCTCGCAGGCTTGGCAGAGTGTTTGGCAGACGGCGGGGCCTGACGATGGATCGTATGCAAGCAGAGGTAGCGGCGGTCAGGGAAATCTTGATGGACAAGGGTATGTGGAAAATTATTTTCTTCGATTTCGTAAAATTCTTGCTCTTATTTCACCTAAAGTTAGTTCATTCTTAAATTCCAATCATTTTGTGGGATGGGGAACATTTGCTAGAGCAATGTTTAGTTTGTTGTTTGAGATTCTAGCTTATTTTATAGGGGTCTGAACTTCTGATAACTAAATGCTTCCAATGCTTTGAACTTTGGTTAGAGATGGAACTGCTTCGATGAGTCTAGCTGAGTACAATCCTTGTAGGTCTTGTTGGCTTGTTTATGTTTTCCAAAATGTCTTGGTTGCCGTCGTGTTTCCGATTTCCTAGTCGAGGACTGATTAATGAGATTGGTGGTGGGTTATGGTCTGATGGTTGTAGTATGACTATGGTCATTGTAGGTCTTGATGTCTGGTCTGTTTTTCCAATATTTCTTGATCAGCTATGTTTCGCTAGCTGAAACTGATTAACAACATTGGTGAATTTGTTTGTTGTTATGGTATGAAGATCCCATTTTGTAGCTTAAGTTGTTCATGGGTTACAATGCTTTTGTCATTGATAAACATGAACTTAGCTTTACAGTAAGCCAAGCTACTAGGCACTAATGGTAGTGATGATATCACACATATTTCATCATAGCACATGATTCTTATGAGTAACTGAAGTTAGCCTCGCTTCTATAGATGCTTTAGTTATCTTTGTCGATGAAACATAACTGTTTTCGATTCAGTAAATATGGAGATAGTTTCCATCTAGGAAAGCTTGGAAAGAACAAGGAGAACCTGTTTAGAATGAGAAACTATGTTAGTCGCGTCCCTACATGAGAGGTTAAGACATAGGAAAGCTTGACAATAGGAACAGGAGAGTTTACTTGGAACAAGTAGTCTAGGGCATTTCTTGACAGAATATAGATGACACCAAATATTTTCCAATGAAAATTAACAAAAATGGTAACTATATACCATCTTGACTTTGTTGGTCAACAAAAAGTTGGTATGGGCAAGAAAAGTGAAGAACGGGTGGGAATTTATGTAGGGATGGGGCACGTGTGTTAGTCATTCTTGAACACTGGTTGGTTTTTGGTGTTTTTTTTTTATTTGTAATCCAACAACTATGCTAGTGCTTGTTGTATTTTTGCTTCCTTCAAACCAAATTGGTATTTTTCTCAACTGCAATCAGGATAATATAGTTAATCTCATTGGCATGTTTGTGTTTGATCACTGACTTGCATATTATATCATACTGTCTGGCGTTTCTTTTAAATATAGCGTTGTTTCTATGTTATTATTTTTGCATGGTAAGAATGCATGGGTTGTTTATTTCCCTTTGGTCATATGGAAGTGTTATCCTTTCATCTGTGATGCAATCCCGTTGTATTCTTGCTGCCTTTCTTAGATATTTATCTTCGTGTTCAAAGGGCCAGGCCTTGGTCATGGCTTTTCAAGATTCGGGGTAGCATGGCCCGAACTACTACTTTTTTATTGTCGACCTCTGAATATTGTTAAGTGATGATTTTGCTAGTGTTTAAGCCACTTTGGAAGGATGTTTTCATTTTAAATATCCAAAAATGGAAACTCCAGGTTTTTGGAAGTACATATCCTGCCGTTATGTTTCCATTCGAGCATGAATTGTTGGGTTATCTATTAAAAGAAAGAGGATTAGTTTGTCGCACGATTTACCATTGTTTCACACTGGCCATTGTCTGAACTCTTTGTAATTTTTTTGTTTTGTGCAGCTAAGCAATTCATTGGTCCGATGTGGATGCTCGATGGTGTGTCAAATTGCGTGATGCTGCTGGGTAATCAATTGGGAATTTTGGTTGCTTGTGATTTATGAATGTGGACCTGCTGCCATTGTTTCTGGAAAGCTACCTTTTAAATGTGATTTATAAGACCCTTAACTAATTTAAGTGCAGCAAAACAAATAGGCTTTTGCTGCTATGACTTTGCCTAATCAAAATTTCTTCTAATGTTGTGCAGTTCTGGGATTAATTATCCCACTTGTTGTTGTGCATCTTATATATTTTCGTATGAATGAACATAATTTTCAAGTCCATTATTTTTGGAGACCGACTATTAGTAACAACCTATACTTGCTTTGATGTTTTGTTTTTGTCGAAGTAGTCTAGTCCGCCACCTACATTCGATGCACAATTTAAGTCCAGAGGAACATTGTTTTTTTTTTGGAAGGTCAAAAGAACATAGTTGGGAGTTCTCTTTTGCTGTCCATATGTTTTTCATTGTAAGAAATTGAGAATCATTTATGCTTATAGCTTCCCCATCAGCAGCAGCAGTAGTTTATGCTATCCAGATTTGGGAAGTGTCTTGATCTGAATGTATACTGAGCTATATTTAATTTTAGATGCTTTTCAATATATTTCATAAAGTAAAGCATCTTAAGATTTGATAGAGCTTTTAGCTAGATTTTTTTTATATTCTTGACTTTTCTCAATATATTTCATATAGTAAAGTAATCTTCAGTTTTGATGGAACTTTTAGCTAGAATTTTTCCTTATATTCTTGACATCTCTCAATAATTTTTTTTTTTGAAGAAATGGCGGACCTTGTTAAAAAACCCTTCTAGTCCTAATAAGGGGATAAGAGTTCCCAAATTCTATTATCGGGAAATCATGTCACAAGATACATCAAATGTAATAATCTCTCAATAAACTTAAAATACGAATAAGATGGACCTTTGACTTTATGTTAGAGGGTGAATTTTTAATGTGAATTTGACTTTAAGAGGGTGAATTTTAAAAAATTATAAGAAGTGAAGTTATAAAATTTTAAGAATGAAAATAAATTATCAATAAAAATATTTTAAATTTAAATATAAAAAAATTTAAAATTTTAGAGACTATTGCCATGTGCTTACTTAGGTCTATCCTTACGTACAAATAAATTAGTGGATGACTGGGGCTGTTCACTTGAGCCTGTAGGTTGAAGTTTGGTTCGAGTTTAAGTTAAACGAAAAAATATTTATAAAGTATTAAATTAATTAAGAAAAAAGTAACCGGATCACGGTCCAGCTATGGTTTTTTTATATAGGAAGAGGCCTAACATCTAGGCCGAATCACCGTCTAAATATATGGAATGTTCTCTAAGCCGGGCGAAGGTGGTAAGAGGTCCATAAAGGGGCCCATGGGCTCATGTTCGGCCGAAAATGGCTTCCAAATTTGACTGAGAAAGTAAACTCTCAGACGACGTTTTATGAACTACGCCTCTGAAATCGTCTCTCTTATAAAAGAAAAATATTTTGGAAATCTTGTGTATTCGGTATTTAACATTCAATTTTGGTTTAGACAGAGAGAGATACAAGAGAAATGGAAGCCCTTGACAACGTCCTAGATCCTTTGAGAGACTTTGCCAAAGATAGCGTCCTCCTCGTCAAGCGTTGCCACAAGCCCGATCGTAAAGGTATCTCCCCCTTTCTTCTTCCCTCTTACTTGTTTTGGATCTATTCGAATTTTTGGGTTTTCATTCCTTCTTTTTTAAGGATCTTGTTTTATTTTCGTGGGAATGTTTGTTGTTTCGTTTTCAGAGTTCACGAAGGTGGTGTTCCGTACAGCGACTGGTTTTGTAGTGATGGGATTCGTCGGATTCTTCGTTAAGCTCATATTTATTCCTATCAACAACATCATCGTCGGCTCCGCTTAGGTAATTTGCCTAATCTGATTTTGCATGCAAGTTTTACATTTAAAAAAAAAGAGTGGATGAATATGAATTCGAGGAATTTTTACCTTGTTTATAGCAAAAGATTTATCATCAATCTGCCATAAATGATCAGATTTTGAGTCAACAGCTATTTCTATATTACTAAAATGGATGTCCCTTTTTCCCATATGTATAGGGTAAGGGAGAGGTAAGATAGTAGGCTGCTCCCAACACCAGGTTGAGAGCAGCTTCCGTGAGAGACCTCCGAATTATGAAATGCCCTCCGTGGGACTCGATCCCACGACCTCAAGGTTAAGAACCTTGTGCTCTACCAACTGAGCTGGATGGTCATTTCAGCTATTTCCATATTACTGAATCGAGTTATTTTGCTTACAAGTAAAGCTTATTGGAATATTTAGCCTAATTTAGCCTAACCCATTGTAATTTGTATACGAGTGACCCTTATCAAAAGCTATGCTATTTTAGAAGAACTAGTAGGCTTATTGATTCTCCAGTAGACCCTTTGATGGATTTTCTCAAATGTCATGTCTTTTGTTCCATGTTCTTGCAAAGGTTGCATGTTCATTCCTTCTTTGTTAAACTCTAGCATTTCACCTTATTCTTGGTTGGATTGAATTGAGGATTAAGACTTCATCACATCTTTTATTTATCTTGTTGATCTGGGTGTGTTATCTGTAGCACTGCTGATGCTATGAAGTTATAGTTTTTGATGCTTGGTATTTTTAGTTCTTAGAAATTCATGGATATCAAAGTTTAAATTTAATGATTTGATTTTTGATATATGAATTGCAGGGGGATATGAGCAGTTGGATAAGTTGCAAATTCTGATCAAAGAAAAAATGTTACAGTGTAGCTCTTCCCTTGTCATTTTACATTTTATTAGTTGAACCAATAGTCTTGAATCTTAGTTTTTGAGCAATTTGTAATAGATTATGGTTAATTTTGCATCGACTTTTGTGTTTTCTTTTTTATTTGTAATAGATTATGGTTAATTTGACTCGATACACGTGTATCCTCACCGCCCACCACGATAACCGAGGGGTAGACACCAGACTGATGCATCAAGTTTCCCGAGCTTCTTTGTAGGTTCACTGAAGCTAAATTGTCCATTTCCAGGATTACCTTCCATTGCCCAATCTTCCAAACTTGCAGAATGGCACTCTTTGTTTGCCCAAAATCACTTCAATTGTTCTTGCGTTTCCACAAATTCAAGCAAAATACCCAAATAGAATAATTCCTATCTACATTTCTATGGACTAAATAAGTAAATGGTTTCCACTCCTTAACATCAGTGCTAAAAAAACTCCACAAGTTTATCTGGTCTCACTAATCCATTCGGAGACAATGCCATTGAACATAACTAATATCCTCTATATTTTTTCAAGTTAAATTTTGTTCACACTTAATTACGGTATAACAAAAACCTAATTGAGAGGACCAGGGTTTACCACTAGAATCAGAATGCTCCTATTATTGCCTCTATTGAATAACTAGGCTTCTTAGTACCCCTCAATTCTCTAGCGTTTTATTGGGGCATCTTCTGTCTTCTTTGGATTTCTTTTTCATAGTCCCTCATAGCTTCGGCTATAGATGATTACTTGAGGTCATGTCCTTTTAGATCTCATAGGACGTATAGGGGGAGGGCTCGACAGAGTGGTGTCAAGGAGACTAGACTTAGAGTTTGTTCGTTGAATGTAGGCACATTAAATGCTAGGCTACTGGAGCTGACTGACGTACTTAGTAATAGGAAAATAGATTTTACATGTATTCAGGAGACTAGGTGGAAAGGTGCTTGCGCCAGAGAGTGTAATGGGTACAAGTTGTGGTATTCAGGCGTAGATAACACTAGAAATGGGGTGGGTATCTTGGTATCATCTAGGCTCAAGGAGAATGTAGTAGAAGTTTGTAGATACCAGGATAGGATCATGATGATTAAGTTTTTATAGGAGTGGAAGTGGTGAATGTCCTTTCAGTGTATGCCCCACACGTTGGCCTAGGGAAGTGGGAGAAACGTTGCTTCTGAGATCAGTTAGATGATGTACTTAGGAGCATTCCGGAGGACCAAAGAGTTTTCATATGGGGAGACTTCAATGGCCATATAGGTAGTGCAACCGACGGGTATGATGGAATTCATGGGGGTTTTGGTTTTGGTAGTAGGAACGATGAGGGGCGTACGTTGCTTGAATTTGCTACTGCACACGATATGGTGGTCACTAACTCATTCTTTAACAAGAGAGATGTGAACTTGATTACGTTCCATAGCGGGGACATTGTACCCAAATCGACTACATCTGGTTCGAAATCAGGATTGATGGGCATGCATTGACTGTAAGGTGTTCCCTGAAGAGGCATGTGCATCACAACATAAATTGTTGGTTTTGGTGTTCCGCGTACGCCATAGGCGGAGCACTCATAGGAGGGCTAAACTTGGTAAACCTATGATTCTTTGGAAGAACTTACATAGAGGGACAGTTGATGACTTTAGGAGTAAGGTTTTATCTAATACAAGTTTTGGAACTACAAACTCAAATAATGCAGATATGTTATGGAAAAATATGGAAATTCCATCAGAGAGGTGGGCAAAAACACCCTTGGGTTATCGACAGAGAAGGTCAAGGAGCATAAAGAATCGTGGTGGTGGAACGACGAAGTCCAAACTAAGGTGAAGACAAAGTAATATTGCTTCAAGGAGTATCTACAATGCAATGACGACGAAGAAAGATCGAGAGCTAAACAAAGATACAAGGAGGCAAAGCAGGAAGCCAAAAAACGGTGGCTAAAGCAAAGTATAAGGCATATGAGGAAATGTACAAGAGATTAGACACCAAGGAAGGACAAAACGACATCTTCAGGCTAGCAAAATCCAGGGAGAATATGAAAAAGGATCTAGGTAGCATTAGGTTTATTAAGGACAACAATGGTGTTCTTTTAGTGAAAGATCATGATATTAAGAGGATTTGGGGCAGTTACTTCTTTGGTTTATTTAATGACGATGCATCTCCGTGCAGAGATAGTACCGTTGATGGGTCAGTCGACCATCATACTACGGACAATGACTGCCCTAATAGTAGGATTGGGTTTGAGGAAGTCAAAATGGCTCTTCGAAAGATGGGGAGGGACAAAGCTGTCGGTCCATATCAAATTCCTATCACTGTGTGGTTGGCCCTAGGAGAAGAGAGAGTTAAGTGGTTAACCAACATCTTTAATATTATTTTAGAGACTGCCAAGATGCCAGAGGAGTGGAGAGAGTCTACGGTGATACCAATCTATAAGAATAAAGGAGATCCCCAACGTTGTGGCAACTACAGAGGTATTAAACTACTCAACCATACCATGAAGCTATGAGAAAAGTTGATAGAGGCTAGGTTGAGACAGGTTACTAGGGTTTCGAAAAACCAATTTGGCTTTATGCTAGACAGGTCTACTACGGAGGCAATTCATCTACTTCAACGTCTTATGGAGAAATATAGGAAAAAAATAGAGATCTTCACATGACGTTCATTGACCTTGAGAAGGCGTATGATAGACTTCCCTACGATCTGGAAGACCTTGGAATCGAGACGGATCCCAACTGCTTATATTCGGGCGATTCGTGATATGTATTGTAGATCTACTACATACGTCAGGACTATAGTTGGTGACACCGAGGCATTCCCGGTGGAAATCGGACTCCACCAGGGGTCGACTCTTAGCCCTTACATCTTCGCCTTGATTATAGACGATATCTTTTGTGCGACACCAGACGGGGTTCCATGGTGTATGCTTTTCGCTGACGACATTGTCCTAGTTGCTGAAACAAAAACGAAGCTGAATAGTAGACTGGCTACTTGGAAGACTACTTTGGAAGAAAAAAGTCTAAGGATCAATATTGAAAAGACAGAGTATTTATGTTCAAACTTCAGTGGGAACCAAAACATGAGGATGTAGGAGTATGCATAGGAGGACACATTCTCCCATTAAATGATTGTTTCAAGAACCTAGGGTCTATGATACATAAAGATGGGGGTGTGGAAGATGATGTTACTCACCGTATTAAGGAGTGATGGCTAAAATGGAGGGCTGCTACTGGAGTTTTGTGTGACAAGAAGATGCCTTTAAAACTTAAAGGAAAATTTTATAGAATGGCAATAAGACTAGCACCGCTGTATGGATCAGAATGTTGGGCAATCAAGAAGGATCACATAAGGAGGATGAAGGCCGCAGAAATGAGAATGCTTCAATGGGCATGTGGTAAGACTCTGTGGGACATGACACCAAACTCTGCTATTAAGATGTCCTTGGGGGTGGTGCTTGTATCCAAAAAATTGAGGGAGGGAAGACTACGGTGGTTTGGGCATGTCCTTAGGCGACAACCGTCGGATGCGGTCAGGAGGTTAGAGTCGATTATAGTCGACGGTGCCAGAAGGAGAGGACGACCAAGGCGGAAGTGGGAGGACTACTTGAGATTTGATTTGAAGGATTTAGCCCTTACCGAGTACATGACCTCTGATAGGAAAGTATGAAGACTTAAGACCAGGGTAGCCGAGTAGTGCAGGTCACACCCATAGGGTGTATCATCTCAGTCTTCTTTTAATGCCTTTGTAGTAATTTACATGACTTTTTATACGTTTCTATCAATGGAATTTATGAAGGCTTAGAACTAGGGTAGCGGAGTAGTGTTGCCTTTGTTTAGGTTTTAACCCATTTAACTTTATTCCTTCTCGTAGCTTGCTATCGTTGACTTGTGTGTATCATTCTCTTCATGTTTCCTATTTTTAAATTTTGTTGGGTCTTACATTTTTACTATTGCAGAGATTTTTACGTAGGGATTTATTTGCAGGAATTACTTCCCATTACAGACGCGCATATAAAGACTGTATTATGAAGACTGTTCAACTATGTACTTATTTATTTATTTATACATGCATTTCATTTTATCTTTATTTTTAATTTTCTGACTGCTGGAGTGTAACATCCTCTATACCGAGTTAGTGACTAAATTAGAAAGTTACAAAATTTAGTGATTAAAGTATAATAATTGAATAGTTTGCATTTTGGTATATGATTAAATTGCAAGGAAGATGGAATTGGAGGATAGAATGGTCATTGAAGGGAAAATAATTAAATTTGGTTAGATATATATGGAGGCCACGTGTAGGAGAGGAAGAAAATATTCAAGCTTCCATACTTCTCTTCTCCTCCTTTCTTCTCTGTACGTGTGAGCCAAGGTAAGGGTAAGAATTTTTATTAGTTGGTTATTAGCTGAGATTTAAGTTTGGTTTTGATCCTTAGATGCTAATTAAGCTTAAGGAAAGTATAACTTGCTTCAAAACAACAAGATGAAAGGGGTATGAAGAATTAAATATTATGAGTTCTTGAATGGAATTTTGAAATAGAGTTCATAATAAGAATTAGAGGTTGAATTTGACTTGTCATCGACTTAATTAAGATATACTAAGTGTTAGAATTAGATTTAGAACAAGTTGGAATTTGAGTGAGATTCTTGAATTCTATGTGGAGGAATTAATTTTTAAGTTTAAGAGGTATTGAATGGATAATAATTAGTTTAAGTAGGTGTATGCAAGTTAGAGACATAAAAGGAGGTGAAATAGGAAGTGTTGAGAAGATTATGAAGGGATTTTTGTGCTCAAAGTAACAATTCTGGGCTGTGTGCATCGATACACATTCAATGTGTACCGATGCACTCTCAAATAAATGAACATCGAATGCCATTAGTGCATCGATGCATAAGGAGTGCATTGATGCACCCCCTTAAAATACAAACATCGAATAGGATTTGTGTACCGATACATAGCTAGTGCATCGATGCACACGTTAAAGAATGCATCGATACACTGTAGAGTGCATCGATGCATACCTTCATTAAAAGATGAAAATAGCTTCTTTTTAGCCTAAGGAGTGATAG